TTACAATTTCTTGCATGTTTGTCTTGATGAGGAGTTTACCTGCCTGTTGAGAAAGTCCACAGCACCAGGCGTCTTTTGATATGCGAGTACCATACGCCGACATCATCGTCATCATACCCTGCCAATGCTACATCTACAGCATCAGCAAATGTACAATTGAAATGCTGGTGTTTCAGCTCTTCACTACAAGTTGTCAAAGAGTTTTACAGAAGAGTTCGTGAAGAAGCTTGCAAAGATCATCCTGAGATATTGTACATGTTTCCAGTTTTGCTGCGAGGCTTTTTTGTGAAGAATCATCAGAGTGATGAAGAAGACGACTTCAGCTCACGTTTGTTTCCAATGAGCAGGGTTGTTGATCCTAACTCGATGATGTTTGACATTGACATCAAGACTTATGTTATTCCATTGACGTGTTCCAAAAAGTCTTTGGCTGTGGGTGAGAAGATAGCTGAAAAACACAACAAAAAAGTTGATCGCAAAAGAAAGCAACCGCAGCAACCACATTTCCATGCTGAGAGTGATTATGGAATACAGCCTGACAATGATTCTGATTCTGACACACCCATGATTTCTTCCGAAGACATTGAACTTGCAAGTTCATTATTTGAGCAGGGTATTGGAGATCTTGCAGAGCAAGCAGAAAGATCCAAGCAAACATCAGAACCATCACCTTCAATACCTTCAGGAGAAACGGCCGAGATTGACACAGAGCTGGACACACATGCATTGTCTGCAATGGGGGTGAGTGAACTTCTTCAATCACAAGATATTGATCACGGACAGGACTCACAAGATGAACGTGATTTAGACAACATTGGTGGACATGAGGAACAACTGCTTGACAGCAGTCGGCATCACGACAGACTTGTGAATAGCGCTGCTACAAGGTCAATCAAGCGTGCAATCAAAAACGATGGCCTTGAGCTTGAAGGTAAGTTTGTTTCTGAATTTGCTACTCAACTTGAGGAACAAGGTATGTCACCCGAAGAAGCTCTACTGGAAGGTGCTTTGAACTCAGCTGATGTTATGGGAAACTTTGATACACATGCGACAGATGAAAGACTCCTATCAGCAGACCAATACTATGTTACTATGTTATTATGTTTATATTGATGATTGTCGAACAGTTCAGTCTTGTGTGTGGTTTTTGCATGGCATGTGGTGTTTGTTTTGCTTCAGTTATTCTCCTGCAATCCTTCACTCCTTCACTTTATTTGTTATCATTCAAGTACAATTAAGCTAAGGACAAGAAGTTCAAGAAGGAACCAAGACCACCGGGTCAGCTACAACAGCGACATTGACATCAACCATCCAATCAACTAGAGACATGCCAGGAAATGTGCTGAGTGATGTTGATTTGGATCGCTTTGCAAGAATGGGTGAAGAGAGTACACAGCATAGCTTGCCACAAAATTCAGCACACATTGTATCCTATGCAACTTGGCAACAAGAAGTTCAAAAAGGAATCAGATCTCTACTTGATGCACAAGACGCGCACATCAAGCACAACGATCGATTCAAGTTGTCGACATCTTCTACGGGATTAGCCTTGGTGCTCCACTATGACATGAAAAAAGACAAGAGTGGCTTCAAAACAGATGCAGACGAAGTAGATTTTGATTTAGTTTTGGTTCAATGGGTGCTGGCAGGCAAGAGTGGACGCATTGCAGATTTGGATGCAGAAGACAAAATCATTGCAATCGTTCCTTCCGGCAAGAAAAGAGTACCCATTGACTTCTCCAACAGTTCTATTGTACATCCTGCCACAGGAATACAAATGGAAAGAGTCAAAAACAAGATCGACCAAAACTTCCTCAGCAAATCAAACGTCTCATGGATATGTGGAGGGTAGCGCTTCAAGCACAGTGCATGTCTGAAAACATTGCTCTCCAACAGCTGAATGAACAAGAACACGCAGAGTCCAGCCATTCTTTGACTGCTGATGCAATCATTGATACTTCTGGAGCTATTCAAGCTCTGGATATGTGTTTGGCATGCTGTGTTTTGTGTGGCAGCAACCACCACCACAACGTGTTGCGTCAATCAAACAGGTCAAATCCATCTTCATCTCGGGCCTGTTCTGAATCAGCTCCAGACTATATTCAGCAATGTTCAATTTGCTTGCTGTCCTGGCACAGATCATGCAGCGAGCGAATGCTGCGCATTGTCACACCTGGTGATGATCCAAATTCTTCAATGGGACAACAACTACCACAGGGACAGATGATATATATGATCCAGGAAAACATTGGGAAAAACAACAATGGTAATGGTTCCAATCCAGAGTCATTCAGCCGTCGCTTACTGCACCGGCTTGCTTGGCATGGTTCAGTCGAGCTTCCTACTTGCTTCAGACGAGATGCTAATGCTTCAACGGAACATGACAGGAGGCAAGTTTTAAGTTGTGTGTTTGTTTTATGTGTTCTATAGTCTTCAAGTTTTGCAGTGGCAATATTGTTCAGAGTCCATATTATTAACTATCAATATTCAAAACTCAATTTGATTGTGAGAGCACTGGACAGGCTTTGTCATCTATGTGAGAGACATGTACAACTTACATCTTCGTCTTCCTCATCTTAATCTTCGAAGGCAGTGCAGCCAGATCAGCAGGCTTGGTGGTATGGCAAATATGTACAGGTCAAGATCATCAGTTTAATAGTTCAACAATTAAACAACAGATTCAGGTTAATGATTCTAAGATTCATTTGCTTTGTAGAGTTGGTGAAGTGAATGTGTGTTTTGTTGAACCATGGCTGAATGGCCTAGGGCTGAAGGCTGAAAGATCTGAAGGTGAAAACCTTGAATTCATTTACCAGCAGTAGGCAATAGATATGTGATAGATCAATCAATCAACCAACCAACCAATCCCAAACAATCGGTGCACGTGAGGCCTGACATGAGGTCGTATTCATCTTCTTGCAAGTTCTTACCTTCAAGGCGCGCCCAACACTGCTAGTGCAGGAGCAATGGAACAATGCCAGTTGTGAAGTATGGATCAATCTTTTATCTTGACTGCAGCAGTTGTTTTTGCGTCAACTTGGCAAACAAGTTGCAACAGCCGCAACAGCAGCAAATTAAAATACAATAGTTGTTGGAGTTGATTGGTGCAAGCAAATCACCATAACACGATGTGTATGTAACTATTATCCAATGTAAATTAAGTCATACATATACATCACATCATCATCGCATCAGCTTTGTGCCATGGCAAGCTCACGTGGAAATGACATTGGTGCAGACACACGCAATGATGCGAGTGATGACAATGAAGACACCAATATTGATAATGATATTCCCGATAGCAATGCAACAGACCCAGACTCAGATCTCGGTTGGCTTGATGAACTAGATGAGTCTCCAATTTGGATGGGCGAATATACTTTCTATGACAGGGTGAATGCTTATGCATTCATTTTGAATGTACCAATCCCATACGCGGACGAGTTCAACTTCTCTACTGTGGATCAACCTGCGCTACAAGACAATGCTCAAGAGAATCAAGAAGGTATGGCCGGGAATGAGGAAAACAATGACAATGGTGATAATGACACAGACTCAGGTCCGGAGTGGCTTGATGAAGGAGACGATTCTACAACTGACAGGGTGAATGTCAACACAGTCAACACAGACACTGTGAATGTGCCGATTTCAATTCAGTCTACAAACAACTTCATCACTTCAAATCAACCTACATCAGAGGAAACTCCAGAGAATCAAAAGGGTGGGGGCAATGTTGAAGTTGATGATCAAGAGATTGAATATCATGAGGAAACCAACAGTCTTCACACGTCACAACCGGAACAGGGTGCTGAATCTGAGGATGCCAATGCAAACAATACCAATACGTCAATGTTGGCTGCAAGTGGCTCTTCAACAGAAGGTTTTGATATGTGTCAAGAGTGTCAAGATGCCAAACGAAGACGACTGTACTGAACTTGATTCAATGGTTCAGGCTCAGCTTGGTTTCACCTTGCAAGTAATGCTGCACAGAGCCACACAGCACACATGCAATGACATTGTGACAGTGTGTGATTGTGAGACTGATGCAGCTGATGCATGTATGCGTAGCAAACAAACAAAGCATTGCTGACCTGTGTTGATGCATTGGTGATCAGTGTGCTAGTTTAACCAAAGATTTTTAGATTGTACTACTCAGTCTCTATAGTCACTACAATCATTACAAACAAAAGTAATATAATTACAAGGACTAAAACTAAGCACTAGATGCTGAGAGAGGCTGAAATGTGTGGTCTTGAGTTGGTTGATTATACAATTGATTTGGTGGCAAGACTCTTATGCATTGAAAATTGACTGATTGACCAATGCACCTGTCGGCCTGTCAGGAATTCATCAGCTAACCAGTGGTGGTGATGTTTCGATGAATTTGTGAAAGCCTCAGCGTTTTTTATTTCAGGTTCGAGTCTGAGCCTTCAAACAAACATTCACTATAAATTTTTATATGGAGACTGAATCGATTGGTTTGATCGACTGATATGATATGGACCATGTGACCAAGAGATCAAAACATATATTATGATAAAGTCAATGATGTAGGCCATTGCTAGTAGGTTGGTTGCTATCGATATTATATTAGTATTATGTTGAATGTCTATCACTAGTAGGTTGGAGGCTATTGCTGTAACATGTACAAAGAACTATTTGGTTCATGAGTCATCAACCATCGGCAGTTGAATTGACATTTTGAGTTATTGAGGAGGTGTTGGCTCAAATATCTTTCAGTGTGGCAAAGCACTGAAACAAAAAAACTTGTGATTCCACCTCGCCGCCAAAAATGAATCTCGTGCACAAGCGGGATGTGTGGGAATACCATGTGACACACTCGAGTGCATTGTCACCATACTCATCCTTTTGGTCACTGGCATGGCATTCATGCACTGAGAATCAAAACAAAGGCTTCAACTTTGTGTGGAAAAGTTTGACGAAAGATCTTGCCACTATGCCACGTCTTTGCCCATTTCCGACGGTCTTTCACAAGGGAGGTTACACCAATGTGAAGTACAACCTGATCAAGTTGCAGTGCCTAAGCAGCACAAATATAGTATATGATTTCACCATATTAATCATGACAAAACATAACTTTCACAAACTACAATACATTGGCAGTAATTGTAATTGTCAATAGGCTACTAGACTTGTGCAATCCAATCGATTTTCAACCCAAGGCAAGATCCAGGTCATGCCCTGAAGATTTTGATCTACAAGCACGAAGTCCATGAAGAGTATGTGATGGTGAAGTTTTGTCGCATGGTTCATTTGCAAGCAAACTTCACTGAGTGTGGTTTGAACCGTGCGTCGGTGCAATATACCTTGTCATTGCTTGGAGCGGCTGACAATGCAAATGAGGAGCCAACAACAATTGGTCCCACAACATTAGGGGTTGCGCTATCACCAGATTCCACCATGGGATCACTTCTTGACAAACTCCTGCTGACCGTGAGAGTTTGGGGATTCTTGTCACCCAAAGAGGTTGAATCATTTCAGATGTGGAAGCTGGAGGACCATATCATGTGGAACAGCAAGTCAGTTGTCTTGACAGGTGTGATGCCCAAGCCAAGCGTTGTGGTGGAGGACATTGGTGCAGTTGCTAACCCTTTGCTTAACGCCAACGCTGAAGATGAAGAACCTGCTCCAAGGCGTCAGCGTTTGGTGTGACCTATGACTAGATCAAGTTCAAGAGAGCTGTCAGGCTGTCAGGTGTGAGAGGGTTACAAAACAACAACGACAAGTGTTGAAGTTGCAACAGTCATGTTTTACAGTAGTTGTCTAATCAGAGACACTATTAAAAGTCTAATCTATCCTTCAATAGTCACCTACTGACAGAAGTTGCCCAATCTTTCAGTCTACAGACAGAAATCAACAAAACCTTTAGTAGCTATCTATTGACAGAAAATGCTTAATTCTTTACTAATCATGTACTGACAGAAACCACCAAGTCCTTCAGTAGGCACCTATAGATAGAAGTTGTCTACCTTCAGTAGGCATCTACTGACAGGAACCACCAAGTCGCCATCTACTGACATAAGTTGCTTACTCATTCAGTAGGCATCTACTGACACAGACACCCAAGTCCTGCAGTAGTCATCTACTGACAGTGACCATCAAGTCCTTCAGTAGTCTTCTACTGACAGGAACCACCAAGTCCTTCAGTAGGCACCTACTGATAAAAGTTGCCTGATCCTTCAGTAGATATCTACTGAGAGGAACCACCAAGTCTTTCAGTAGGCATCTACTGACAGAAGTTGTTTGATCATTCAGTAGGCATCTACTGAGAGGAACAACCAAATCCTTCAGTAGGCACCTACTGACAGAAGTTGTCTGATCCTTCAGTAGGCATCTACTGAGAGGAACCACCAAGTCCTTCAGTAGACACCTACTGACAGAAGTTGTTTGATCCTTCAGTAGGCATCTACTGAGAGGAACCACCAAGTCCTTCAGTAGGCACCTACTGACAGAAGTTGTCTGATCCTTCAGTAGGCACCTACTGACAGGAACCACCAAGTCCTTCAGTAGGCACCTACTGACAGAAGTTGTTTGATCCTTCAGTAGGCATCTACTGAGGGGAACCACCAAGTCCTTCAGTAGTCATCTACCGACAAAAGTTGTCTGATCTTTCAGTAGGCATCTACTGAGAGGAGCCAACAAGTCCTTCAGTAGACACCTACTGACAGAAGTTGTCTGATTCTTCAGTAGGCATCTACTGAGAGGAACCACCAAGTCCTTCAGTAGGCACCTACTGACAAAAGTTGTTCAATCATTCAGTAGTCGTCTACTGACAGAAACCACCTAATTCTTCAATAGATATTTATTAAGAAAAAAGTATTGAATCTTTCAGTAGGTACTAGTATGCATATACTAAGAGAAACCACAATGATCATCTACTGATAACTAAAAATATTTTCACTATGTCGTTGTTGTTTGGATGTGATTTATGTCTTCGCTCTGGGGTTTGGATAGAGAAGTGGCGAAGAACACATTAGTTTCACACTTTTGCTGACAGGCTGACAGGATTCTGAAAACAAAAGAAGAATGTGTGCTATGTGAATGATTTCACAAGTAAAAAAACAACTAATGCTACCGGCTACCAAATGCAACTCAGGTCGAAAGCACAGTCTTAGTCATCATCACCACTACTACAGGCTGGCCGCATTCGTTTGCAAGCACTGATCAGTGACCAGTGACCAAACATCAGACCGATCATGAAATCACAATGATTTTCATTGTTGGGTTGAGAATAGTTTGACATTTGTAAATTGATTTCATATGTTTGTGTCTATAGCCACAGCTATGTGTCAGATCAAATGAACAAAACCTCACGTCATTACAATTGACAACTTGACAGTCTGATATCTAAAATCAAATCACTTAGACTATTATTCAATTAATGTCATAAGGTTTATATTTATTTATTTTCATTTCATTATTTTTTATTGTATTGACAACATAGCCTAGCCATGAAACGGCCATCATCATCATTGACACCTCCTACATCACCGGCAACCACTCTACGTGGTGGTCGTGGTGATGGCAGGGCTGCAGGAGGTGAAGCAAACGGTGGGGCAAGCTTGCTTAATATGATGAGATGTGCTAAACCTGCAAAGGTTGGTTCCTTGGACCAAAGCAGAGATCCTAGATTGATATCAGACATGAAGGCAATCAAAATATGTAAGGCTCTTATGGCGAAGGCATCAAAAGACAATGGAGAGTTCATGGTTGTCAGAGACTTCAACATTCGTGTAGCTGCACCAGGAAGCAATGTTGCAGTTGTTCTAGGATGCGATCCTGATGACAAGAACCTTCGTTTTTCAAAGAACCGATTGCTTCCTGTGTTTGGAATTGCAAAATTCATTGGCAACGTGGCTTTGACTAAAGACAACTTTTCATCATTTGGTGCAGTTCATGGATATTCAAGCTTCGACGAATCGGTCTGCAACATCAAAAAGGGCAAGCATCCTATTGGATGGCACTTTGGTAGCTTTGAGCTATTCACTGACGGTATATTGCTTGTACCATCTTCCAGTGGGTCGCAGGACTGAATTGATTTTGTTCTTTAGTTTTTCATATATTCATCATTGTAACTCAGGCTTGAGGCTGTTTGTTAACTTTCAAGTTTTTACTAATTAAACAGTGGTCTAATAGTCCAAGGATGTGTTAGTTGTGTTGTGAAAGTGAATGTATCAATTGTCAGTTGTCAACTTATCAGTTTGTCAACAGGACAACCTCTTCAGCATCAACATGTTGGCGACTATGAAAAGGCCTTCGGGGACAGACTCAAATCATTCCTTTGGTGATTGGGAAGAGCTACACACCAAGATGATGAAATTGTCAGCAAAGTCAGATCAAAATGATACGCAACAGCAGCAGCCATCATCAGAGTCATCATCGGCGCAATCACCTACATGTGCTTTGAGTTCCCAGGTTCAGAACACACGCACAACGCATGCAGTGAACACAACCAAGCTGACGTCATCATCAAGAATTGATTCTATGCTTTCAGTTCGTGCTCAGGCTTCACCATGTAAAGCCACAGAACGTCAAGCTGGGAATGATGATGTTCCAAAGAGTCCAAAAGCTAGAGCCCATGGAGTTCATGAAACAAGGCCAGATACAATAGATCCAGACTCTAGCAGCGTTGCTGGGAGTTTAGCCAAAGAGCTTGAGAACTTGATTGATGAAATGACTGACGATGAGCAAATCAATTCACACCAAGCGGACCATGAAGCAAAATCAGCCAATACTGCCACTGCCACTGCTGCACCAACCGCTGAGGCTGAGCCCACCATCATTGATCAAACTCAAACGCTTTCAGGTGATGGTGGTGATGCAGTTCCAGAGTCAATCTCAGAGAAAAGTCTTCCAC